ATGTATGTATGTATGTATGTATGTATGTATGTATGTATGTATGTATGTATGTATGTATGTATGTATGTATGTATGTATATTAATGAAAGGCTCCGTCAGTTTGAATCCAAATAGTGCCAAATTCACAGAAGAGATCGATGAATACACGGGACGGGTTCTAAACTATACTCATTTGAAAACCGTAAGAACGGCTTAAAAAAGACAAAAAAACAACAAAAACGTAAACATTTGCCTGAAAATAGGGGGCGCTGTTTTGTTTTCGTTCTGTTTCAACAGGTTTCAATTTCGTTTTGTTCTGTGTATCTGTCTTCTGTGGATCTGTGTTCTGTGTCTGCGTGTCTGAGATTTTGTTAGCCCCATAATGTAAGTACTAAAGTAGAAATAACCATGTAATAATGAAGTTAAATATTCAGTAGCTATTTGGGCATAGTTTCCCATTTGAGATGTACAAGTTGAATTTCATCAGAGCAGATTTTTTTTTGGAAGTCTGCAATACGTGGTCCGCACAGAGTGGAAACATGGGAAGCACGTAATATTACGTGCTACACAGCCAAGTCGTTAATCAGTGGGCCGACCTACCAGCCCATTGACATCTATCTATATTCTCAATTTGCAGTCCGTATCATCAACCAGTACATAGCATACAATAAAACATTTGACCTTTGACCATAATTTCCACATTACAGGTCACGTTTTTATTAAGGAATGTTAGTTCTCGGTCAGGTCTATACACACACCAAATAATAAGTCTTAACTCAAACGGGACCGTATCAACTGCAATTTCACATACATAGTCTATGAGGAAAATTATTACATTGTCCTGTTTAGGAAGCCCCTTTGTTGCAGCGCCGCAATGCATCAATTTAGGTACAATTTCTACCCACTCAATTCATATTTACTGTATTGTAGTTTTATATACTCCGTATGCATATTACATTTACATTGTCTAAAAGTATTGGTAATGGCTTCAAATCAGTACTAACACCTTTTGATGTGCGTTGTTTTTTTGCAGTTACGAGTTTTCGACCGTTAACATCACAAGGACACTATGCCTAAAATTAAGAAACGAAAAACTATACTTTCAAGGAAAACCACTCCTGCACATCTCATGTCTGTTGCAAGACATGATAAAACAGAGGAAGGACGTTAAGGACGTGAAGCACGACTACAACAAATGAGAGACCACGTTGCACAAGTACGAGATAGCGAAACAGAGGAAGGACGTGAAGCACGACTACAACAAATGACAGACCACGTTGCAAAAATACGAGATATTGAAACAGAGGAAGGACGTCAAGCACGACTACAACAAATGAGAGACCATGTTGCACAGGTACGAGATAGCGACACAGAGGAAGGACGTGAAGCACGAGTAAAACAAATGAGAGACCACGTTGCACAAGTAAGAGTTAACGAGACTCAGGAAAATCATTAGGCACGCCTGCAACAACTGCGAGATGAGCGTTACCATCTAATTCAAGAAGCACTTGCTCATCATAGCAGACTGGGTATTCTTAGAGAAACAACTCATTTCCTTGAGAGCGAATTTCAGCCACAAGACGCCCATCATGAGCTGCCGAGCCTGTTTGATTCCATTCCATGTCCTAACTGCAACAGCCTTCGATGGAAAGAAGAAAGGCCAGGCATTTGTTGCTTGAATGGGAAGCTCAAGCTCGACCCATGTCCAGCACTACCCAAAGCTATTGAAAGCCTTTACCAGCAACCACAATTACTGAACAAACTGAGGAAGTATAACAATGCCCTGTCATTAGCATCACTCGGTGTAGGACGAGAAGTTATACAGAACGGATACAGTCCAACTGTCACAATACAAGGAAAGATGTACCATCTTATTGACACCCTACTTCCTTCTGCTGGCAATGTTCCGAAATTTGCACAGTTATACTTCCATGACACCGACAATGAAGTCTCTAACCGACTCTTCCACAATCCGGATCTTGATGCTACAACACTTGCTAGATTACAAGAAACGCTTCGCGAGGTCAATCCCTACATCCAGTCGTTCAAAACAGCTATAGAGGTTCACGAACAACATCATCACAGTCTCCGCATTGTACTGAATGCCGAGAACAAGCCATCAGAACATCATGCAAGGAGGTACAACCTTCCCACACGAAGTGAGGTTGCAGTTATCCTTCCTGGTGACTTGATCAATAACTTTGATGTCATTGTACACTCGAGGGAAGGTCCCATGCAACGTATAAACCAACTGCATAGAAGCTATGATCCTCTGCACTATGTTTTGTTGTTTCCAACTGGGACCGATGGGATACCATTTGCATATCCCTCATTCCAAAGGGCCACGGAATGTAACGCCTGTGGAGTACTATAGATTCGTTCTTCAAGTGAGAGCAGATGATGGAAACTTCATCATGAAATCTAGAAGACTTCTACAACAGTATGCATGCGATCAATATGCCAAAATCGAAAGTGAGCGTTTGAAGTACATCAAGCACCACCAAGGAGAAATACGCGCTGACAAGTACAGTGGACTGATGGATGCACTTCACCATGACGATACATCCAATGCAGGAACAAAAGTTATTCTGCCACCCACTGTATATGGAAGTCCCCGCTTCTATGCAGAAGCCTTTCAGGATGCAATGGCAATCGTTCGTCATTATGGTAAGCCGTCCTTATTCCTTACATTCACCTGTAACCCAAATTGGCCCGAAATCAAGGCATCCTTATTCCATGGTGAGGCACCAAGCGACAGGCCAGACATATGTGTTCGCGTTTTTAACATCAAACTCCAAGAGCTTCTCAAAGACCTGCGGCAACGTGAAGTCCTTGGCAAGGTTGTGGCCTTCACATCTGTGAAAGAGGATCAAAAGAGAGGCCTCCCGCACGCCCACATCCTGCTCATATTAAAAGACAAAGATCAGCCCAAAACGCCACAAGATGTTGATCGCATTGTATGTGCTGAAATACCGGACAAACACACAAACCCAAGGCTGTACGACATTATCACACGCAACAACATCCACGGACCATGTGGTACTGTCAACAGAAATTCCCCTTGCATGGTTGGAGAAGGTGCTTCACGAACCTGTGCAAAACAGTTTCCCAAGGAATTCACGAATCACACGGTAGTCACACAATCAACGTATCCTGAATACAAGCGAAGATCTCCAGAAAACGGAGGTGCGACACATCTGTTGCAAGTTCGAGGAAACAGCTTTCAAGTAGATAACAGATTCATCGTGCCATACAACCCTTTTCTCAGTCTTAAGTTCAACGCTCACATCAACGTGGAAGTAGTCCACAGTGTAAAAGCCGTGAAGTACCTGTACAAATACATCACCAAGGGATGCGATCGTGTAATGATGCGTCTAGCCAACGGAGAACAGATTGATATCACCAACGACGAGATCGAACGCTTTGTGAATGCAAGATACGTCAGCGCGTCACAAGCATTTTGGAGGATATACGAGTTCAAACTCCATCAGAGGTACCCTGCTGTTATCAAATTACCTTGCCATCTTGAAAATGAACAGCAGGTCATATTCCGCGAGGGACAGGCTGAGCAGGCCGCACATCGAGGACCACCAAGTACCAAATTGACGCAATGGTTTCAACTTAATCGAGAAGATCCCAACGCAACAACCATTCTGTATACCGACATCCCAAAACACTACACATGGAATGGAAAGCGATGGCAACCAAGGAAGCGTAGATGTGCATCGAACAACGACGGTGCAAACTCTGACATGATCGGCCGTATACCTGTTATCAGCCTCAATGCCCACCAATCGGAGCTCTATTTCCTGCGAATGCTACTTCACCATCAACCTGGTGCTACTAGCTTTGCGGATTTGAGAAAAGTAGAAAACGATGAACAACCTACATTTCAAGCTGCATGCCTCAAATTAGGATTACTGCAAGACGATACAGAGATCGACAAGGCCATGGACGAAGCTGCAGCGTTGAAGTTCGGAAACCAGCTACGAGACGTTTTCGCTACTATTCTCATTTGGATTAGACCATCCGATCCCCTGGCATTCTACGAACGACACAAACAACAACTGATTGAAGATCTTCTACATCGTGATCACATGAAAGAGCCAAATGACATCATAATCAACGAGCTGCTCACTTATCTGCAAGATAGGTTAGAACGAGAAAGCTTGAAATTGCAGCGCGATTTCGGCCTTCCCATGCCCGATGTCAATCTTACCGACTGTTCAATACCCAGAGAGATAAGAGAAGAGATTGACCTTGACATTGACACATTGCAACACATAGATGTCACCAATCGCAACAAATTAAATCTAGAACAACGGGAGGTGTACGACACTGTGATTTCATCTGTCGACAATGATGAAGGACTGCTAATATCACTAGATGCCAGTGGCGGGACAGGTAAGACATTTGTCCTGTCCACTATTCTCGCACATGTACGGTCAAAGAAAGGAGTTGCACTCGCTACAGCTACAAGTGGTATTGCAGCTACTCTTCTGCCTAAAGGTAGAACACTTCACTCGCGACTCAAAGTTCCGATCAACATTACAGAAGATAGTACATGTAACATCACCCCACGTTGTGCGACAGCTGAACTGATTCGCCGGTGTAAACTCTTAGTCATAGATGAGGTCAGCATGGCTGACCGTCGAATTCTCGAAGCTGTTGATCGTTCTATGCAGGATATTCGGAAGAACAACGGCACATTTGGAGGTGTTACAGTAGTGCTTGCAGGTGATTGGCGCCAGATTCTACCTATTGTGAGGAAAGGAAGCAGAGCTTCCATCGTCAATGCCTGCCTCAAATCGTCACCGCTCTGGTCAAATGTCAGGGTCATGAAGCTTACTAAGAACATGAGAGTAGCACTGGCCGGTGGTGATGAGCGCGACTATGCAAACTATCTCTTGGATATAGGTGAGGGGAAGGTTCCAATCGACCACACACTCGGCAAACATAAAATCATCATCAAAGATGAATTCATCTACCATTCAGACAGCTTCGAACCCTTTGCAGACTTTGTGTTTGACGACTTGCCACACAACTACATGAACTCACAATGGCTGACATCTCGAGCGATTCTATGCCCGACAAACGAAGGAGTTGATAAAGTCAACAACTATCTACTCAAGAAATTCCCTGGTACTAATCGTGTGTATAAAAGCAGTGACACAATTGAAGATCATGAGGAACGCCATCAATATCCAGAGGAATTTTTGAACAGTTTGAATCCATCAGGGTTACCACCGCATCTGATCAAACTAAAACCATGTGCACCCATCATTTTGTTGCGCAATATTGATCCCATTCAGGGGCATTGCAATGGCACCAAATATGTTGTTACTTACCTAAATGACCATGTCATCGATGCCACCATCGCAAGCGGAGTACATGTTGGAAAGAAGCTCTTCATTCCACGTGTTTCTCTTTCGCCATCTGAAAACCTGTACCCCTTCAAACTTCAGCGACGTCAGTTTCCAGTGCGAACGGCATTTGCCATGACTTCCAACAAAGCGCAAGGTCAGACATTGGCACGAGTTGGCATATACCTAGAAAAGGATTTCTTCTCGCATGGCCAACTGTATGTAGCGATGAGTAGAGTGGGAAACCCAAACAACCTGAAAATCCTCACCAAAAACGGCAAATTTCTCAACAAGGAGGGCACTTACACGGACAACGTTGTTTTCCATGAGATCCTTTAATTGCGTACTATACCACCAGCAGCGGTAGCAGCAGCATCACCACCGCCAGTTCCAATACTATTCCAGGTCCGTTCCTATTCCACTGTGCGTAGCGTTACCCATAAAACGATCAAGCTTACAACTCAAGGTTGCAAATTCAGTAAAAGCGGTAGTTCAATTCGGTATTCAAGAAAACCTCCACGATGACAACGATCAGCCCTCAAACACCGACAACAATGGCAACACACACACGCACGCACACACACACACACGCACGCACGCACGCACGCACGCAC